CTTCACAAGGTGGGCCGAGGCGTTCGCGGTTAAACGACTAGTGTAATGGACCCCTCCATTACATAAGTAGGTAGATTTCTTTACATAAGTAGGTGCATCAGCACACGACTAGCGTGTGCTGAAATGCTGTCATGCCATTGGCTGATATATGGGGAGCCAGACCCATTATTAGCCAATTGGACTATGACGTGTATTTACGTGGCCAGGGCTGTGGCCTTGGTCCTAAAAAAAGTCAGAGTTGATTTTTCCTTAAACCTAAGACTCAGTCGTCCTATTGCGAGCTTCCTCAACACTATAGTGTAAGCAAGTAACGGAGTAAATACCTGGCCCGTTACACCTGGTAGTACTTTGTAGTCCTTCCAACGACCAAGTTCGACATGAGCCAAGACCTCGACCACGCTGCCTTTCTCCATCTCACTCGGATCGAGTGGGAAGCTCTCCACCGCCTCGCGGCGGTGTCCGGAGAAGCCGTCGTCACGTCGCTGCTGCGCTCAGCGACGCCCGACAAGCAGCGCGTTGCGGCACAAGAATTCATGGAACGCGAGCTCGCCGATGCGAATCGGCGAGTGTCAACTCCCTCGCGTATCTCCACGAATGACGTCGTGAAGCTAGAGACGTCCACCTACTCCGGTGCCGGAGAAGATCGACTTCCGCTGAATCGCTGGTTTCGAGAGATCGACATCGCCATCGCCTCGAGGTTGATCGAGGCGCCTTCCGCGAAGGTCCATTTCCTCCTCTCGCGGTTGTCTGAGAAAGCCAAGGAATGGGCTCTCGGCAAGTTGGTTGTCGACCCTAACGTCTTCCCCACTCTGGATACCCTCCAGAGTGACCTTCGGCTCGCGTTCGAGCCGCCGCAAGATGAATCCCGAATTCGGGCAGACTTCTTCGCCCTTCGGCAAGGCACGATGACTATGCGCGACTACGTCCAGAAGACACGACACCTCGCGTCGTGCATCGTGTCTAAGCCGATCGATATGGCCTCTCAGGCTCATGTATTCGTGTTCGGTATGCGCGAAGGCATGACGCGCTACTGCCTTACAAGATCGGACCCCTCCACGCTCGAAGAGGCATTCGCCCTCGCCCTACGCGAGGACTACGTGGTCGCGGCGTCATACGCTCACGCGCTACCTGCTTCAGCTCGGGATTCTGCGCCCGAGCCCATGGACATCGACGCTATCGATGCGACGAGCAATCGTCAGCGTCATGTAGTGCGTCGAAGCGGTGCTCGGAACAATCGTTCTCTCACCTGCTTCCGCTGTCGGAAGGTCGGTCATCGCGCGGCGGAGTGTCGCGCGCCAGCTCCAGTGCTTGCGCATGTCGATGCCGAGCCCGTGAGTTCTGACCAGCCAAAAAACGGTCAGGGTCAGTAGGTGCGGGGCGCCCTACTGGCTGGAATGGAGGTCCGGGTCCCCCGGTGGCAACCCAACCTCCTAGCCCTCCTGTGCTGCATGCACACTTTCATGCCACCACCACGCCGAGCGATTCAAGATTGATCATTGTCAGTCTTCATGTCGCCGGTGCCCGGCGACCACTGCGAGCGCTCCTTATATTAAGGAGCGACCAACAACTTCTTCCGCGCGTCGTGCTTGTCGGTACTCCCGTCGGACATCACTGTCCGCAAAGGTAGAGGGGAGGTCGCTGTCAAGTTGGCCGATGGGAAATCACGCCGCGTCGCGCGGCGCGAGATTGCACTTCCGTACACGTTCGACGGTTTCCGAAGCAACGACGACTTCCTCGTCATTGAGATGAATTACGCGTTTGACTGCATCCTGGGTATGCCGTGGCTGACGCGCTATCAACCAGAGATTGACTGGTTGGCCCGGTCGGTCAAGCGTCGCAGTGGTTATGATGTGAGCGAGGTGTCCACGCACCTCCTGGTCGCCCAGAAGGATTGGCCTCACGTCACCGTCGTGGACCGGTCATCCACGACGAACGTTGTGCACAGAGTGAGCGATGGCCCTCTCTGCACGGCTTGCGCAGTGCTGTTAACTGACGAGTCCCCGCGGCGACGCGGGGATGAAGACCAACTGGCGGTCGAGCAGGGGCTCCCGCAGACGAACGGGATGGCGGTCGAGCAGGGGCTCCCGCAGACGAATGAGATGGCGGTCGAGCAGGGGCTCCCGCAGACGAACGAGATCGCGGTCGAGCAGGGGCTCCCGCAAACGAACGAGATGGCGGTCGAGCAGGGGCTCCCGTCAATTGAGCCGGTGGTCGAGCAGTTGGCGCTCCCGCTGAGCACTACCGCGGTCGAGCAGGGGCTCCCGCTAGAGGGGGGTGACCTCTCGCCCAGCGAGAGCGACTCATCATCCTCGAGTTCGCACTCGAGGCGGCGGCAGTCGAAGCGGCGTCGGCTGAAACCTCGCCGAGAGCCCGTGCCAAGTGACAGCTCACCGACGGAGTCGGTCTGCGTGCTTTGAGTACGTGGAAGGGTACTCCCGGTCGCCGACGAACACTCGAGCTTGCAAATCCACCTAGCGAGGCAGGGTCGATCACTCGACTTCCAGGTCTCTCCTGGAAGAACTTCCTTCGCGGCCTCAAGGGCGATGAAATCGAACAGGTTTGCCTGATCACCGACGCCGATTCGGCGTCGCCCGAAGTGAATGCAGTCAGTGATGGCGACGCTCCCTCGCGCCCAAAGAGCGCTGAGCCGAAGTCGGCCCGCGAGGAGCGCTTCGCAGCGCAGTCTTGGGAAGCGCTACGCGAATCCGGCAATCCAGTCTACGAGTCCGCCCGCGAATATGAAGATGTCTTTCCGGATACGATCCCAGCTGAGCTACCAGTTGACCGAGGAATTCGCCACGAGATCGATCTCGTGCCCGGCTCGAAGTATTGTGTGACGCGGCAGTGGCCGCTCCCGCGAGATCAGGTCCAAGCTATCGATGACTTTTTCGAGAGCCGCCGCAAGGCGGGTCATGTGCGTGAGAGCACATCGCCGCACTCCAGTCCGACCTTCTGTGTGAAGAAAGCCACGGGCGGATGGCGCATCGTCCATGCCTTCAACAAGCTGAACGACGCTACCATCCCTGCCCAGACGCCGATTCCTCGGAAGGACATGGTGCTCGACGCAATGTCGGGTAGTGAGGTCTTCAGCGCCATCGACTTGACCGATGGGTTCTACCAAATCCTCATGAGGCTGAGCGACATACCGCTCACAGCGGTAAGCACTCCCAGTGGTATGCTCTGGGACTGGCTTGTTATGCCACAAGGCTTGAAGAATGCTCCCGCCACGTTCAATCGCATGGTATCCCATGTGCTGCGCCCGCTCCGCGATTTCGCACCGAGTTATTTCGATGACATCTTCGTACACAGTCGCGCTGAGGGAGGCCTCAGCGCGCTTGAAGTCCACTTGAAGCATCTGAGGCAAGTCTTCCAAGTGATGCGCGAAAACAAGCTGTATGCCAACTTGAAGAAGTGTATATTCTGCGCGCCGGAGATTCCGGTGCTTGGCTGCTTTGTGAGCAAGAACGGCATCCGCGCCGACCCCGAGAAAGTGTCGTCGATATGTGCGTGGCCTACGCCACAGAATCCCACTGAACTGCGTCAGTGGCTGGGTCTCGCAAATTATCTCCACAAGTACACGAGGAACTACGCCGGATTGATCCAGCCGCTCTCTTCGTTGTTGAAGAAAGATGTGTCGTGGTCGTGGACTCCCGCACATCAAGCCGCCTTCGACTCGGTGAAGAAGAGTCTCGCCGAGGCCCCAATCCTCGCGCTCCCGGATGCCTCGAAGCCTTTTCACGTCGTCTGCGACGCGAGCGATTTCGCCATCGGCTGTGCGCTGATGCAGTTCGATGAAGAAGGTCGAGAGCGTGTCGTAAGCTACCAGTCCAGGCAGATGAAGCCGGCGGAGCGCAACTACCCTGTTCATGACAAGGAGCTCCTTGCGATGCGCTACGCTCTGATCAATTCAGGAAGGTCCAACTTGTGTCCAGTAAACTAGGAGCCCCCTGAGCCCCATGCCCAGGACCTGGGCATGGGGGCCGTGCAGTAGTGCTAGTACCTCACGATCCAGGAGGCTATGCACTTCTTCTCTTGCAGCGCTTCCGTCTTGCGAGCATGTGTATGAACTGAAAAGACCGCTGCAGCCGCTGCAGTGTTATGTATATGAAGATCGACGCTGTACTACAGCGTCGAACCAGCATTACAGCTTCGACAAGGTGCTGAATCCTTCTATCACATGCAGAGTGTAAGCGCTCTATGTTGGTCCTTATACCCCCCAACGACGCTGTGGTGTTTCCGAGCGCAGGTCGCCGTCGTAGACGCCTTTCGTGCCCGCAGCAACTTTCTCTTTCTCTGCATCCTTTCTCAAATAAACCGTCTTAGAAGGGTTAAAAAGAAATAATCTCGGCACCTCGTTTTTTCATAGGGCTTCTTCAGAGAAAAAAAATAGGTAAGAAAAAATTATCGATTTTCTATTTGGACAAGGCTCTAAGGAGGCCAACAAATCGAGCTACGACAGGCGCACGAGATGGATTTCGAGGCAAATCTATCGAACTTCTTGAAATCGATTCTTTTTGCGTGTTTGAAAACGCAAATCGAGCGCAGATAAATAATTCCATCTGCCTTTCCCATCTTATGCGCCGACCATGCTGGAGCGACATTCCATCCGAGTACTGAAGTATTTAAAATATTATTATACTTCAGAAATTCAAATTTTAATTAGTACATTGTATTTTATCAACGTACAGTAAGCATTTCTTGCCATAAATAGAGCACTTTCACCAGTTTGTTGAGAAACTCCTTGTCAGCTGCACGAAGATCCCTCACATTTAATTTACAAAGTATTATATCGGAGGCCAAGTAGAGAAGAAGGGAAGAAGAGCGACGTCGCAACTAATCGCCGACCTCGAAGAGACTCAGCGATTTGACTTTGATGAAGAATTACTGCCTGAAGACAGCTGGGAACCAGACACAAAAAAAAGAGCATAAACAGCAGCGTGAGCGTGTTCGATGGGACGACGGACTTCCGCGTGTGGAAGTCGCGGCTGGAGAACGAACTCATGCGCTACCATCTTCTCGGCTACGTGATGGTGCGCGGCTACGACGGAAGCCAATCGTTCACTTATAATGGGGAGGAAGTGCCTCCCAGAACGCCTATAATCCACGTTGACGACGAGCAGCACCAGTCTCTGATCAAGGAGGAAACGTCCTGTGGTCGGAGCAGCACTGGCATGCAGCGAGGACGACTCAGTCAATGGGACGTTTTAGGGGAGAGCGCCGAGGCCAAGGGGATCTTGCAACGCTACTTGCACCCAGATGTGGAGGCAGCGATTTTGAACAAGAACATTCACGACAGTTGGCAGATGCTTTGTGCACTGTACGACAACCGCAGCAGCCCCGGAGCTCATGACGTGTACGAGATGCACCGCGTGCTCCATCACATCCGACTTGGCGACAAGAAGGCCGAACCCGTGAGGGAGTTTATCACGCGGTGGGAGATGCTCGTGCAGCAATATGCGTTGGCGACGGGGATCGAGCTGACCGACGCCTTTCGCTCCGTATCACTGATACAGACATTTCCTAGTGCGTGGCGGCCCATGGTGGCGTCGTGGAGGGGTATGAAGCCGTTTGTGCCGTATGCGGAACTCGTCGAAAAAGTGGTTGCAACACGGGAACGAATGCAAGCACAGCCAGAAGCGGCAAGTGTCTCGAATACCTCACTTGTAAAACCAATAAGCAAATCAGCCAACAGCTCAGCTGACGTGCTAACAGCTCAACTGGCAGAGAAAGCACCAGACAAACCTGCCACAGTAAAGCCTGTAGCCCAATCTATCGCCCACCTTCCGGAGAAGCTAGTAGATATTTCGGCTAGAAGACCAGTCGAGAAGAAAACGTCGAAACCACCGAGTAAACCAGTTGAAAAGCCAACAGAACAGCGCATGGCAGAGCCGGCGAGAACTACTAATAAAGCGACGGACCCAAACAACCCAGTCCTGCCGCCTATTGATGTGACCACTGGACCAGACAACACTGTCGACTTGACAAGTGGGGAAGTTCTTACAACTTCGGCAAAAAGTAAGTCTCCCACTAAGACTCAATCACATGACGACAACAACAGCAAGACTCTGATGGAGCAGACGGATGAAGCTGCTACTGCTCGATCGTCAAAGAGTCCAAATACTGACGACGACGGAAGCAGGAAGAGCGACGCTTACAACAAGCGACACTCGCACGATAAATATGACTCCGAGAGAGGATACGTCAAGTACTCGTCTCATTGCCGCTTCGAGAAATCCCCACGCAAGCCACGCAATAGGTACGAGAAGAAATATGATAGCTACGATCGCTTCGACAACCCGGGCCCCGTCTCGTGCTTCTACTGCCTGAAAGTGGGGCACCATATGAAGCGCTGTTGGTACTTGAAATCCGACATTGAAAACAGCTCGACCCACGACCTGCGCAAAAAATTTTCATGCGCTGTGACGATTGACCGATCTCAGTACATGGTGCACTGCCTCGAAGCGTATATAGATGAGGTAAACCGGGAGCGCGCAGCGTATGGGGCTTCGACATCAAAGTCAACGACGCACGGCGACTACAATGTCTCCGAGAGTGTTGGGCGCAAATACCGCCCGCAAGAACAGGAGATCGTGCCGCCGCCGCCCCCAGGTCAACCGCCAGCTTACGCATTTCGAGATCAACAGCAGCAAGCTTCGAGTGCAACAGCAACGATCGGCCACCGCAAGCGCTCTCTGAGCGCTATCCAGGCCACCGAGGGCCGCATGTCGTCGCGTGACCCGCGCTTAAATCGATCCAACAGCGTCTACAGATCCACGGACGTCACCGAGGACTTTTCACCGCGGAAACGAGGTCGTGGGCCGTCGTTCGAGCGGCAACTTCAAGCCTTTTACCGAGTCACACGCGACTGTGATTTCTCAGAATAAGACAAATCTCTGATTGGTTAAATTCAATTCGAACTTATCTGTAATATTTTAGTTCTCTCAGGGGACCTGTTCACGCACGACACGAAGGCTCGAGCGACCGACAGCAGGGAGGAAGCGGAGCGTGAAGAAGGCTGCTCTAAAGGGTCGGGAAAGGACGGCGCCTGGCTTTCCGCAGCCATGAAGAAGACAGCGCTGTGGAGGTAAGAGGACAATTGCCGTTAAGTCGTGCCTGATTTTATAAGGCGAGAGGGACAGCACCGCCCTGTGTTTACAGCGAGAGGGGGTCGTCTAGTGATGCTAAAGAGTGCTTTGTTTTGTGATACTTTTCAGAAACAACAGCACCATGTCCAACAGCGACAAGGGCAGCAGTACTACTACTACAACTGCGACGACAACTACCAAGGCAGCCAACACAACGAATAGTGGTAGTAATTTGTCCAATAGCACACACAGCAGCAATCGAGGAAGTCACGGTAGTCGTGGTAGTCGCGGTAGTAGACGCAGTACAGGGAGTGCGACCCCCGAGGGCGACGACAAACTGCCCCCCGGTTGGACACGCAAAGAAAGCAAGTCGCAAAAAGGTCGCTACTATTTCATTTCCCCTGCTGGCAAGACGCAATGGGTGCCACCTCCCATGAAGGCGTCGAGCTCCAAGATCAAAAAGACTTACAATTGGATGAGTGAGGTGGAAATCGGCTTCCAAGAGGGGCGACTTGGAGTGAGTCTACGAGAAGTCCACCAGATGGAAACCATTCTGTACCCTCAATTCCAGGCCGAAGTGGACGATCTACCCAAAATCAACGGCAAGGCGGGACCCGCCGAGCTCCACAACTGGAGCGTCAAGCCCCACAAGCGACTGACGATCGGCATGCGCGTCATCAGCATCGAAGACACGTCGCTGGCTGGGCTTACTTATAAAGAAGTCGTGGGCAAGCTAAAGAGCGCATCGCGGCCTGTTCGTATCAAATTTGCAGATGTACAGAAAGGAACAGTGGAGGAGAATGGCGGTCGCAAATCGGACGGAGACAAAGTCAATAATAGTGCCGGGAATGACCCAGCAGCAGCAAGCTACGGTCATTCGAGTGCATACATGCAACAGAAACAGGAATACACGCGTGTGCTCGTGACGGGAGAGCTTCATACGGAGATGTGGACCATTGAGAACAAGAAGATGCTGCGATCATTGACACGTATGCAGCACAAGTGGAGTACCGTGTCGAATGAATTTGATATGTTGAACGCCAAACGAATGGAGTTGCGGAAAGAAAACGAGAATCTGAAAAATGACAAGGAAAAGTACCAAGTCATGATGAAGAATCTCAAGCTGCAGGCGACTTATGCCATGGAGAACCCTGAACTTGTGCGGGCTAACGAACTGGCCAAGCGGAACACAGAACTGAACGATGATATCTCGAAAATGAGCTCTGGAAACAAGCGACTCCGTAAAGAGAGAGATGCCCTGCAGGCTCAGCTAGATGACCTGGATAAACAGCTTGCAAAAGTGGAGCAGAAAGACAAAGAGGAAGATCGAGTTCCGGAAGAAGATATCTTCGGTATTGAACCCACAGCTCCACCGAAGGAACAATTGTCGGCATTAAAGAAGAAGCGACGTGGACTTGAAGACGAACTGAACAAAGAGCAACGCAAGGCGAACAAGGTGCAGAAAGAGATGGAGCAGCTCACCAAACATTACGCCAGTCTTGGTAACGAAGAAACGGGACTTAACTCGTCCACATCTTCGTCATCCTCTTCTCATCAGTCGCAGATCGACGACAAGGCCTCGCTCAGTGCAAGTGGGCTCCACGCAAAGACGAGTGGTAGTAGCAATGGTTCGAGCAAGCCGAAGTCGGAGTTCGCTGACCTGGAAGCGAAGATCTTGGAGCTACGTAAGAAGCAGCGATCTGTGGTGGATACTCTGTCCAAGGCTGCCCAGTCGGGTGACCATAAACTTGCTAAGGAGTGTCAACGGAGGCGTCAAAAGATCAAGGAGGAACTTAAGGAGGCACAGGATGAGCTGCACAGGCTTAAAACTAAGGGAAAGGCAGGCACTCCGTCTTCACGGGGCGATTCTCGCAAACCGAAGCCGTCGACCGAACCGTCAAGCCGTCTGCCTTCGGACTCGAAGAAATCGAGACGTTCCGGGTCGATTAGCAAGGACAACTCGAGTCCATCTACCCCTGACACGAGCGCGGACTCTGCCTCGACTCCTGGAAGTACCCGAGGAAAAATGCCGATGCTGAGTGGCTTCTTAGACAAGGGTCCCACCGAGTGGGCTGACCGCGGCATCATCAGCGGCATGAAGACGATGCGTGGTGCACGTGAGCGATGGTGTGTTATCACCGCCGATGGGTTTCTCAAATACTACAAACGACGTGGTGACTCGGTTGTGCGTGGCGAGATCAACCTGGCTGACAAGAGCTTTGAGGTTGTGTGTGAGGATCTCAGATATGGAAAGGAGTTTGTACTGTGCACGGACGAGCAGCAATCGCATTTCTTCACAAAGAGTCCACAAGAGCTCAACAATTGGGTGAAAACTCTGCGTGCTGCGAACGCCTATTTACTCAATGCTGCTGCCCCACCGCTCCCTCCGCCTCGACCTCGTGGCGATACGGACAAGCAAATGCTCATTCGCGGCGACAGCAAGCAAGCAAAGGAGTTCAATCTCGACGGGCTGGAAGACTCTTTGCCCGAAGAGGACGAGCAGTTCTATGGGCGTGCTACCTTGGGTTTCTAAAGAAATGGTGGCTGTGGCCGCTTAGTGCTGGCACTAAATGTAATGACTGGTTGTTATGTCACTTCCTAGCTTATTAAGAGCGGTTTTCATGAAATATTTGCCACTTGATCACTAACTTGAGTCGAGATCCCGTAGCCTGAAGTGGTAACGCTAAAGTACATTGTAGTAGAAGCAAAATGCATTCCGCAGCCGCTGGTGCTTCTTTTGTCGACACGTTTCCTAACGCGAAAAAAAAATATCTTCGCTAAAGTGAGCTGAAAACTATCTTACGATTCGTAAGTTACGAATGACTCGGATGAACAGAGGGGGTCTTGTAGCTATCATTGCAGCTAGCAATGGTGTGCGGAAGGACATCGGCATCGGGTCTCGACGTCAGTGCAGCTGCTTCAAAATATGCAAAAGAATATGGCCATGCTGTCTACAGCACAAAGTACTTGTTGCGCTCTTCCTCGCTGGCCGCAGACGTCGCCGCACCTCGGTTATCGTGCTGGCTGGGATACCACTGGCCTCCTTCAACACTGTTGTTGCCTGAGCGACGAGATGTGAAGCCGTCGTCGCTCGTCTTGCGACTGCGGTGAGAGTTACGGTTGCCGTAGCGGTACCATGAAGTTGTGCCTGCCGGACGGTTCCCATCACCAGCGTCGTGCACCACACGCGAGCTCAGATTCTTCGTAAACTGCTGCAATGCCAACGCGCTGTCCTGCATCTGCTTCGGCTCCTCCCCAGTGGCTCCGATAGTGTCGGTGTTTCTGCGCGGCGCTGTACCCCGACGACGGCTCTTGGCCATAGTAACCATATCTGGTTTCTCCACCGGAGCCGCATCTTCCTCCTCCTCTTCTGGCTTGTCCACCTTGTGCACCATCTCATAAAAGAGCCCGCCCTTTTGGACCAAAGCATCGTAGCGACCCTCTTCAGCAACGCGACCAGCGTTCAGTACCAAAATTTGGTCGGCATTTAAAGCAGTGGACAAACGATGTGTGACCGAGATGATCGTCATATTCATCTTGCTGGAAAGACGCTCCAACGTTGCCACAATCGACGCCTCCGTCTCAGGGTCCAACGCACTGGTAGCTTCATCAAGCAGCATCAGGCTCGGCCGGCGACAGAGAGCACGCGCCAAGCAAATACGTTGCGCCTGACCACCACTCAAGTTGCACGTGGCGTGCTGACCCACGACCGTCTCGAATCCGTCCTTGAGGTTCTTGATGAAGTGGCATTCGGCAAGACGCGCAGCCTCTTCACAGTCCGCATTCGAAGCACTGACGTTACCGTAACGGATGTTGTCGAAGATTGTACCGTTTAGAATGCCACCGTCCTGGAACACGACAGCAGTCTGGTCCATGAATGATTTCTTGGAAAAGTTGAAAATGTCGTGGCCATCAAGACGGATACATCCACCATCGGCATCCTGAAACTGCATCAAACAGGCCAACAGCGTACTCTTACCACAACCAGACGGTCCCACAACACACGTGTACGAGCCACGAGGAATAGTCGCAGTCAACTCGTTGAGAATGTAGTTCTCAGACGCCTTGTCATACTTGAATACGAGCTTCTCCACACGCAGATCGTGATCCATCTTGGGGAGCGGTGGCATATCCTTGTCAGCTCCGTCCTTGCCACTGTTCGAGCCAAGTCCGACAATGATGTCGTCAACACGCTGCAAGCTACTGGCATTGCCGATAGCCACACGCATGAACCCTCCCAGTACTGTAACAGGGTTGGACACACGACTCAGCAGCGTGATAAAACCGAAGAATTCACCCGACGACAGTTCCTTGTGCCACACTTTCATGGCCAACGACGCCGTCATGATGGCCACAAATATATACATGGCAGACTCAATGTAAATCTGCACAATACTTGACCAAAAGTCCTTCGAAAACTGACTCTTGCGCAGCGACGCGCACGTCTTCTTGAAGCGCGTAATGAGTGGGTCTTGAATAGCGTACGCACGCACAACCTTCTCGCACCCCACAGCGTTCTGGAACTCAGCAGCGACGTAGGCATTCCTAGAACCAAACTCCTTCGATCGTTGAGCTGCAAAACCCTGTGGACCACTGGAAAGTAGCACGGCAGTGAAAGCAAACGACATGATACCGATGCTGACATCCATGTACAGAGCGTAACTAAAGCCGAAAATCACAGCCAGCAGCGGATTTAGCAGGTTCCAGAACACAGCCTGCCACAGAGCATTCACACGCGCGACATCACTCGAGAAGAGGTTGTTCAAGTCGCCTTCTGAGCGCTCTGCAAAGAACTGGGTGTCTTGTCGCAGAATGATGTTCAGCAGCGCAGACTGCATCGACTCGGTGGCTTTTGAGATCATTTTGGACTGGAAATAACCCACGGCGTAGTCACCCAACACGAACGGCACACACAGAGCCAATACACCCACAACGCCAACCTTGAGCGTCGACTCGTTCGGTTGTCCCGAGTCCAAAGTGTCGAAAGCATCCGACAATTTGGCCAGGAAAATGGCCAGCGCTGGGCTCACTGAGGCGTTGATACACACCACGAAGAAGCAGAAAACGAGGTCTGCCATCTGCGTGGACCAGTGCCACAATGTGCTGCGGACAACGTCCATAATACCGTAGGCCAGTGTCGACGACGACGCGTCAATGTCACGCAAATGCGACAGGAATTCAGTGGCCGAGAGCGTCGGCGGACGGTAGTGTAGAGCGCGCTCCAAGAAGTTCATGAGCTCGTCACGCGTCATGTCGCCTTCGTCACGACCACAGATGATCACTAAGTCCGTCTCCATCATCTCAATAGACATGGCCGAGATGCCGGGGATACGAGCCAGTGAGGCGCGTAGAGACTCGATACTGATGCGAATGTGGTCGCCATTGGTGCGGAACTTGTGCAGCTTCTTGGAGAAGGTTCTGGCTCTGGGCTTGAGAATGAGACGACAGGCCACGATGCTCAAATAACCCAGACACAGCCAATATTCCTTGTCCTCCATGACGTATCTCGAGCCAAGTAGCACGACCATAGCCAGTAGACACAGAAGATCAGCGATATTGGAGTGAGAGCGAAAGAGAGCGAGACGCAAACCCAGTATACGAATGATCATGTCGATGAAGTAGCAGAGCATTAATCCCGAAGAGAAGAGCCGCGACGCCTTCGCTGCCACTTCGTCGTAGAACGAGGCCTTCTGGGTGAATGAGATGGCCAACACCTGAACGAAAAAGTCCAGGAACAGCGCGAATGTCTCCGAGTAGTGCCATTTACGCGAATCAATCACCCGCAAGTAGAACAGGCGGTGGCCGTTGCCTGGAGCACTGGACGCACCCTTGATGGTACGTGGGTCCGACGAGTCTGGCAATGGGCCGCCGATCTTGACGAAGCCGCCGCTACTGTCGGGCGGCACGCGCTCAAAGTCCGTAGTCTCGCTACTCATTTCCAGCGAGGAATGGACGGGGGTGGCCTCGAACGCTGCGGCCTTGCGCTGCATGCACGGGAAGCGGGAGAGTCAATCAGCGACGATGTCCAGCAGTTGCAGGAATGCGCCGGGTGACCAGGTCCTTTCACTTGCGTTCTGTATGGGAACTGACTTATGTTGGGCGGGTAGCGGAATTATTATAAAATGGAGGGAGGTTGGGGGACGACCTTACCACATGTTGCAAAACGTCAGACTGGATATCGCCTGACTTTATTTGTGACCAATCAGCATCGAGCAAGATGTCACGCATCTCTTGTATTAATGTTAGACTTACAGTAATATATAGTACTTCTAATTAAAAAAGTATACTAATACATATTGTTTATTTATTAATACATGTACTAAATTATAAAAATACGTATTTCAATATTTTTTAATCATCACAAATTTTACGTGTATCAAATGCAAGAGAAAAATATAAGTACTTTGCGACGCACAAACTGAGTCATGTGATTTCCAATATTAGGACTCGTGTGTTCTGGAAAATAATTATTTCTATATCAGGGTGAGAAGGGTATTGAATTTGCCCGAGTTTAATCCTTGATGATCTTAAATGACGATTTGATATAATACTCAAGAGGTCTTGACAAATCTCTTCGGCCTCAATGCAACATAACATGTACGTATACGCGTTGTAAAGTAAAAATGATTGGCACTCTTTGCTGCACCCAGCTGAAAAATATGTGACGAGGCTGCTGCAACCATCTGAACACAGCTCGCCTAATACGAGCCCAGCTCGTGCCAAACAAACCCCCGTACTGCTCCCAACTACGCGCCCAACTCAGGAAGCCAGTGCAAATCATATACATCAAACGTGTATAACCGGAAAGACACACTTAAGAATGTGCGCACCATGTCAAAGTCCGAAGCTGAGCGCGTTTGGGGGCGAAGTTACAGCGTTAGATTTTCATGTCATCCCTTCCAACCAGTACAAACAAAAACAGCAACAACATCACTCTAAGCAAAACAAAGTAGTGGTGTATTGAACGCTGAGCACCTACAAGCTGTTGTACAACTGGTTCCTTACGCTTCGATAAGCATGCGTATGTAGCGGTATCGCAGAAGCTGTAATGTTTTTTTGTCCAGATACCTTAGTTGCTCAAAACCGCAGAATAGCTCAAACACCAGGAGCACAGTTACCCCACAACTGTAACTGTTTGTTTGTACATCTAGTCCAGGATCGTAAATTGTACTGCAATATTCGCTTCTTTTTGGCGCCAGCCTTCAGCAGCTCACTCACTGTCCCAACGACCTCTAGTTCCAGAGCTATTCGATTATGTGGGTACTGCTCAAATGTGTGCTTGTGAAGAGGATGATTATGCTTCAAGCGCGTCGAAGTAATCCGCAGCGAAAATGTAGGTACCGTCGTATCGACAACTTGCACGCAAGCATTAATCTACGTACACGACACATGCATGCCATTAGACAATCTACCACCCAGCTTACACCCAACTGATTCAATGGTACCCAACTGGGACCCAACTCGGGGAAACTACATATATCGCACCTGCATATCGCACTGAATAGACATCTACTGCTGTCGCTTCCTCTTCCCCTGTTCTCGTGCTTTGTACTTACCAGCATGGGTACATACAAATGTCTTGCCGTAGTAAATTCATTCATCCGGAAGAATTGGCTGCTTCGAGCCGGGGTTTGCTCGGATTATTTTGTTCCGGACCTCGACTTTGTTGTTCGTCCGGGCTCTAAAACACTATTTAGTCACAATAAACAAACAATCCATCAGTAGTTATGCCACTTGTAATGTGAATCCTGGCTAGCAACGATAACAAATACAGTCAAGTGTACCTGATACGTTTCCCTTGAATACTGTTGAAGGTAGCCCTCCAGGTCTTCCCAAGAATCAAATTGAGTGCGCTGAAGGGGTGGTGCCTCTGTTGTTTGCGGTGTGGAGTCGCTCGAATCCGTGTGTACTGTGCTGGAAGCGGCCGACGACTCCTCAGTTGAATATATCCACTCCTCATCGCTACACCCGATACGCTGAGGCTCGGAGTGGTCGCTTCGCGGGCTCCCCAAGCCTCCAGCACCGGCTGCATTTGACGCGCAGCAGCCCGCGCTAGTGGCTTCCACACTGCTTTCGCTGCCCCCCCCTCACTTTCGGAATGAGTGGTAGTTGACAATGATATACACGCATACATACTTCACGGATATCGAAATTTCTGTCGACCGGGCCTCTTCTGGGGTAGGGGAAAATCTGATCGCGATTTACGACGCTGAGTTGGGTGCACTACTCACTCCCAAAATGATTTGCTAGACGGATCGTGCAGAACATTATAGGACACTGTGATCATCAAATTGTAGCCAATCAGAGCGTACAAATGAGATGATTTTGAACCCATGACTTAAGTCATATTTTGCTTGCTTGCCCTGCGGTGCAAAGCCACTACAGAGGTCCAAGAGCTGACCTCGACGCCGACGGCGCTTGCTCGTTGTGAGATGCGAAACATCAACGCTCTTTTGGCAGGCAGCGAACGTCTTCACAGCACGTTTGTATCATCAAATACGCGCATTAGATAGCGAGCGTCACTCAGTCGCTTCTGTTGATTTCTGCTAGGCATGTCACGACCATCAAGTATCCGCAGTGGAGGCGTCTTTTTGTCGGCATTGCCGCACTGCCACAAGCTCCAGAGCTCGGCCACAGAACAATCCGAAAGCATCAAGTCAGGGGGGGGGGCGAAGGCTGCCTCCCCAGCAGAAGGATGTAGCCGTTAGCGTGCTATCCATGTGTTGCTGGGATGTTCGCTGCGAGCCGGCGTTCAGCTTCGGCACCAACGCAGTGATGCCCGCTGAGACGACGCACTGCTTGAGTGCGCTGTCCAGTCCGTCAAACGTGACGACACCTGCGCCAGTTGTTCGCTGCTCGAGCACGCTGACAAGGTCCCTCACAATGCTGTTCGAGTCGCATCGACGTGCGCAACAGGTTTAAGAGCCACCTCCAGCAGACCTTTAATCTCACTTAGAGCTGATACGTGTGGCGGTACACCTGTAGCCTACACGTGAGTACTGGCGTCGTCAATACCCATTACCTTTTCCGACAGATCTATAAGTAGGGTTGGATGCTGGAATAGTGGTGACTCTAGCCAGGGCTGCTTTGCAGCAAGATGCGATTGCAAATATGGTGCGTGATAAACGAGAGATGACAAGCAGGACTCATCGACAAATACCAGCTGAAACGAGAGCTCCGGAAACACACACGCTTTCGTTTTTTCGACAAGATTGTCACGCTCTCCAAAGTGTGGCAGCAGCACCAGAAATTTGTGACTTTCTGGTGGGTGGCCAGATACAGTTCTTCCAACGTGCTTATTTTCAGCCGACTCGTATCGTAAATACGTATTTTGAATTTCGTCGAAGGACCATCCTGCTCTCATATGCACCGCTGTTGATGATGGGCATGCTATAGAGGCAGAAGCACAGTACTGCTCCTTTTCGCATCAAATGTGTGCCCAGTTCGTCACGATTGACGCCACGCCGGCGTAATTCATCTGCAGCATCTTGCTCTAGTAATCGCTGCAAACACTTACGGAGCCGCTCATATTGATTGTTGCCGGGGAACAGTTGGTCACTGCCGTCAAATAATGATGTAGACTGAAAGATAGCGATGACCACAACTGGGCAAATAGGCGGATTGAGCGATTTCGCGTATATATGTCTTGGGTCACGGGACCGGCTGCCTTCCTGCTCGCTCTGTAAAATACATGGAAAGAGCATCCCCATTCCATTCCATGTGCCCATGTCGAATACCGAACGCATTTGCCGACTTACATCAGATTCCTGGCAACAATCGTGTAGGTTCGAGCGAAAGCCATGTCCTTTGATGGATACTTTACAAGTTGTGTACACAAGAAAATATACAGGTCGAGCGACAACAGATCCTTGCCCGTCTTCGCTCGTACTTCTACTCGTGCAGCTGCAGCTGTCCTATGTCTTTTTACGACCTTTAAAGTACTTTTGTAGTTCCTTCTCCATATTTCAAGCCCAAATTCACGATACAAATTAAAAAGGCCCGCTATGTGTATATTTAGCACAAAGTAGCTGAGACCGCCATCAGCTTTCTCCAGTGTCAATAACCAAGCCATAAACACATTCATCTGCATAGTGTCAAGCCCAAGAGGAGGGGGGGGGGCTTGGGTCGCGATCGAGTAGGGGCTTTAGGCGCTTCCGGAGCTGCTTAGCTCTTTTGTTCCCCGTACATTTTCTATTGAGAATACTACATACTATGATTAAGCGATTTTTGTAAAACGATGCATAAGGCCACATTTTACGGTCCATTTCCGGTGAGTCAAAACTAATTTAGGAGAATCATGAGAATTAATTTTGAGATACTTTTGTAATACGTGGGATAATGCATCATTTTGCGACATTTTTCGACTGGAGCACAATTGGCTCAACATTAAATCTAGAAATTTGATTTGGCGATTTTTGTAAAACGATGCATTATGCCGCGTTTTAGAAGGGTTGACAACAAAAGCGTTAATAGATATACTTGATACATCGCCAAAACGAAGGGCAAACGCCGTGGAAACGAGGTGCGGTTTGTTGAGGACACCCACCCGATGAAGCAGCCGTAGGAATTCTGATATACAGCTCGAGAGCGCGCGCTCCCCGTATTGCGCTTTATCTCGACAAACCTCCTTGTGAGGTCTTTCCAATCAACGTCCTTCATCGTCGCGAATTCATTGAGGCAATCGTATTGTGTTTTGTATTAGTACTCTGCTGGACAAGTGTCCTACAAAGCTGGTGACAATTGATCGATGGCTGTCGTAGTGTAGTGAAAGCATGCTTATTTGCTGATTACGTATCTTTCAAATTGAATATTCAGGACACTTGCGCTTGAACTAGGACATGTAATAGTGGCATATAGACAAAAACAGTACACTATACTGCTTCCTGAAAGCGACGTGGCGTAACGTGAAATGGCATTTCATTGTACACACAGTGAGGCACTTTTGAATTTGCTCAATATATCTTTCTAACATGTATAAAACATATCATTT